CGGAGATTAGGCTGACGTGTGGGAAGTGTCCAAGTATCACCTAACTCCAAACCAAATTTCGATATCATAGTACTTCTTAACTAAAAGATATCGGCATTTTTAGAAGTCATGATTTTCGAAGAAAAAAATTGAAATTAATTTTTATTTCGAAAACGGTAACAGATAGGTATAGGGAAATATCAAGAAAAGTTGTCGGGCAATTGTTGGAGATTCCAAAAATAATATTATATACAGAGTGTTCCATTTGAAAAATCAAAGTTGCTACTGCTTTCTAATAGAAGCGGCAACACCGCATTGTCGAAAATATTTTAGTTGGCTAGAGAATGTCCGAATATGCCCTCCATTAAATTTTCAAAGTGATCCGTTGTCTACTTCACCAGAAACGTCTAATGTGCCATCCACCGTGAATCAGCCTGTATACCAAAAACCAGCCATGATACATATTTTGTTTAACAATTAACTAGGGGGGACCAAAAATTTTAGGGATGTGTGTATACTTGATAATATATTCCATAATTATTATGGTTCTCTAACAGTCATTTGATTCATTCTTCTATAAAAAATCAATGTTTATCTATTCCTATTCTCGTTGAGAAAAATGAAAATACGTTTACCTGAGAAATAGTTTCAGCATTTCCCCCACTAATCCGAAATCCCTCAGGGGATGAGCGTGAACCTCGCAAATGGCTCTCAGAAGGCAGGCTCTACCGTCCATTCCAAAGTTCTCCAGCAACTCCTCCACCATTATATACAGTAAGGCCCTCTCACCTCCGTGGAAAGCGTTCTTATGAGGATGAGACGGTGACTCGGATGAGCGTTTCGTCCGTCGACGTTCCAACATGTCACCGATATAATCGGCAAGAATTCCGCCAGCGGCTCGGCCCATTGAGCGCGCAAGGAGCGGCGGCAAAACTCCGTACGGATTCTCGTTGTCCGTCAGGCCCAGTTTGTTGAAATCAACTAGAATCAAGAAGCTGTATATAAAAATCTAAATAAGATAAAATCATTTATCTGGGTTAAGGTAGCCAGCACCGACAATGTCTTTTACGTTGAGGATAATGAAATCTCGTTATTCTAATCGTTTTGGTAAAACAAAAACCGAACGACAAAGCTCAACAGAGCTAGGAAGAATTTTTCAGATATTAATGGACCCACAGAAAATTATAAAAATCACACTAAGAAAATTTCATCGCCTTTTTTCTTAATTAAATCTTAACAAAATTTCCAAATATCAAGTTTTTCAGTATAGCTGTCATTGATAAGTATTTTCATGTCAGTAGACTCCCCTGGATAGAAAGGAATGCTACCTTTCACTTTCTATTTCCTCATCTTTCTATTATTTCCTATTATTCAAACGAGGGAGTGAAAAGGATAAAGGAAATCCAAATGAAAATGTTGCCTAGCTTCACTATGATTTTCTAACAATTCAAATGCGTTAAACCATTACAGCACAAAACTGCTGCTCTATCCAATTGGCTTACAGTAAAACAAACGTGTTCACTCACCATAATATAAATATTTCCATTGCAATATTCACACAGAAATAAATTTTGTTCACAACGCACACAAAATGACACATCGTTAAAAATTCTAAATTCTTATAGATTCAGGAAAATAATTCAAATGAATCGGTGAAGTTGCATGCGTTTGAATACATAACCTTAAATAATGTTTCATTTCATTGTGTCACAATTCACATCTACTTCTCAATTTACATCATCACGTTGTAGATAATACGCGATACTATACTGTCACACAAACAGTGATATTAACGGGATCTAGCGTTCATTTCAAAAAGCGAGTAGGCCATAAGGCCATATTTGTATGAAAATTCTACACGAATGACTCGCTACACCAGTGTATAGGCAACTTAGATCATATCATTTTTTGAACTTACGGACTAGATAAAATCAGATAGTTGCCATTAATATGATGTCCCTACATGTCGGCAGCTGTCAATAAATTAGTAGATCACATTATAAAATTAAACTTCATGAATGAACTTTGACAGTTTATACTTTCAAGGTTATGGATTTTAGATTATGGACTATCACTCAGTTCAAGAATACGGTATTGTGAAACCACTTCCCATTTTTGTCACTTTAAGAGTGAATTATTGTTATAATTCGTGGCAATGCATTTTTTATTTATTGTTTTTAATTATTGGAACCGGGCGTTCATCTATAGTCTTGTTAACGTTTCACCACCATATCAGATGGCATTATAAAAATGTGTCATCTTTCCTGCAGTATTCAGTATTTGGCCCCATATTTTACAAAATGATTTTTGAAATACTGCCGAAATTTGAACATAAATTGGTACTCTTGTATAAAAAAACTTCATAAAATTCGCAAAGAGTGTATGATAGCTGTGGGCATTTCCAACATTTATTATGATTTTGATTCTTTTCGATCTTGTGTTCTGTTGTTTATTGTTAATCGAAAAGAAAATTTGAAATGTTTCATGTTGTTTTCAAGACACTATTTTCCAAAATTCTTTGAAAATCATCGATTTCTTCGAATCTAAATATCCTGAAAACGGTTGTATAGTGAATAAAGTGTTGAATATAATTTTTTCACCTCAGAATGATCATTTTTTTTAACATTTTCTTCGAAACAAATAGAAAAAGACATATATATGTGACCTCTACAAGTGAGAGCCAAAGTGAGATCAAATTTGAATTTCTCAAGTTAAAAAACCTCGGGAACCAATTTATGTTCAAAAAATGTCGATATTATTTCAGAAAAATCAATCTACAACACAAAAAAAAATTGTGGCCACATGAGTATATGAACTTCTTTCGGACTCGGTCTGAGAAATATCGAACATCCATTATACTCAATGCACAAACTTATGTAATATCTTAGGTATGATCAAAGATTAGGTACTCAAATCACAGTAAGACTGTTACCCAATTTTACCCACACTGTGAGTGATCAATGAGTCAGAGCAATAAAGGTCTCAGTATATGCTGAACATGCCGATGCAAATGCGTAATTGTCCAGGCCGGTAGGCCGTCTACGAATGGAACATGTAGTACTGAACGTTTCGTCTGCAGACATCATCAGTGGAATATTCATTGATTGTGAGGACAAAGGTTACAACTCGTAGTCTCACCAACGGCTGACTCGTATTCATCTCAGAGGGTGGTAAGGATGATAGTGCGAATGACGGTGGGGGTAATATCGAGTAAGGGTTCCGTGCGAATGCTCCACCCACCGTCACCCCACCACCCTCTAAAATTATAAATACGATTAAATACATAGCTCGCCAGTCAGTCGTTGCTGAGACTTCGAGATAAGATCATCGATCTGGCAGTCAACGCACATATTACTGATGATGTCTGCTGCAGTAGCTTGTGAGACGTTGGCTACTACATTCAACCACGGCCTACCATCCCTGATTTTATTGTCTCTAACCGGGACTCCGGCCGCGAAACCCTATGTTCAAATACATCTAGAACTATCACGCGAATACGATAGACCCGTGTATTGAAGATACCATTCTGGCAACCTATGATGACTTCCTTGGTGTCCAACTTTAGCCCACTCATTTTGGTAAACCAAAGTTTTTGATGTTTTTAATGAAAACCTCATGCATAGCAGCTTCAATTGGGACTATTTAATCAATGTTCTCCAACTTGATAACGGAGTGGGGGTCATCTCCTTCATAGTTTGGAGACTCATTGATTTCATATAATTCTGGCATAGTGTGATTTATTAGATTCAGACAGATTTCGGTAATACCCGATTCATGATCCTGAATATTAATTTTTAGCATCTTAAGAGGAATTATGAAACCATTTTAAAATATTCCTCCGCTATATTAATGACAATAAAACATATTATGTTCCAGTGACTCGAAGGAAGTGGTGATATATATTCTGTTACAATTTATTCGATATAAAAAAATAACCTCAATCATTATTTCACGTTAAAATTCACACTTGAATACATTATTCTACGTTAAAGTTTACACTTGAGTACTTTGTTTTTTTAATATTTCGAAAAATGAAAATTTACACAATATCAATTTCGATATGCCATGAAAACGAAAAAAAGACATTTAAGACGTTTGTTGCAATTCAATGAGAAAGTCAGTTGTGAGAAATACAACGAAAACTTTCACTCTTACTTACTCGTAAAAGGTAAACTGATGGTGAGATTAGAGAAGAAACCTTCAGGAGGATACCTCACGAACGGCAGCGACAGAGATGGCGATATAACCAACGTCGTACCGGGTGGTAAGGCCAGCCTTCCATCTTGCGTTATCCAGAGTAACCTTTTCTGTCTAGATTTTCCTTCTTCTTTTGTGAAAGACGGTCGAGTGACTAATAATATCAGTGCCAGAACATTTACGATTCTGCTATTTGAATCTCCCATCTTCTAAGCTGAAAATCATCAGAGATGAAAAATGTTTTGCTTTCAACAAAAGTGAAATTCAAGATATTCTTAAAACATCAAAACATGAATTGACCTGTTTTGCAATTAAGAGTCTAAGAATGTTTTTCATACTAAAGGGAAACAAAATTGAAACTGTATACCTTCAAATTTTCATTTGAATATTGGAATGAATTCATGTTACTTGGAAAGCAAAAGATAATGTTACAAATGAGCCAATATGTACTTGTCTTGTTGATTAAAGATAACGATCAACTTCCTTACTGCATATTTTAGTAATTATGGCGAAAGTTTTAGGAGGAATTCAGAGCACTCGACACCTTCACCAAAATAGTTCATTAGAGAAAGAAAAGTAAAATAACTGAAATGGAAGAACAATAGATTAACAAGGACCGAAAAGAAAACCAGCAAGTAGAAAAAATAAAATTGTCCCTGGATTTATAAAGAGTAGTAGAACGATTTTTTGTAATACAGTGACTTCTATTGAAGTCAAGGTTACAAAACAAAAATTTAGAAATTTTAATATTTTCAAAAAATTAAAATAAATGCTGTGTGAAAGATGAGATGAATATTCAAGGCAGAATGTCAACGGCTTTCCCAAAATCCAATCAGAAATAGAACCAATTTCAAATAGTTAATTCCAGAAAACAGAATTTAGAAATATTGAATAATTTCTTACGAAAATGTTATGAAAATCATATTTTGTGTGTTATTTATATGTGTTGAGAAGTTTGCGCATATGTCTCTTCATAAATTTTACGAAAAATTGAAAAATGAAATAGCCAACTCATGAATAACAATCTGACTAATCAGAAAAATCAACGTTAGGCACACTATATCGTACTGAAGGAATATTTGTATAGAATCTACCAGAATCCTTCCAATGTTGAACTTCAAACTCTGAAGCTCACTTTTGACAAAGAGTTTCCAGAATGGAAAATAAATTCCACTTGATCACAGAAGGACATGAGTTCAACCATGAATACAAGCTCCTCCATTTCCAGAAGAAAGGTTTGAAACTTAACCTGTTGGAGCGTATAGAAATAAACAAACTCAAAAATACTCAGTATCTTATGAACGATCTAATAGAATTGAATAATTCGCCATTATTGAATCTGTTCATTCCCAGGTAAAAATAGTTAGATACATCATGGTACTTTCGAAAAATTTATGATATAGTTAATGAATTCATACCTAACCTTTTCAGGTAGATTCATTCTTTAGGAATTAGGCATACGAGTAGGTAATAGGTTAGAGTATAAAATGATTGTAAGTTAGAAGTAACTTTTAGTTTTAATTTATGCTTGAGAAAGCTATTGTATAGCGAAACACGTGTCGCGGTTTTTGTAAAACTCTTTATAGTGGAAATCATACAATAAACTGTATTGATTAGTTTTTATGGGTATATGGTTATGATATCTAAACCAAAGTCCCAATGGAAGAGCCCAGGAGAGTCAAGGCCAAAAAAGCACGACAAGTTCGATCGAATATCAAAGTTTTACTCACTGTTTTTTTGATTACCGTGGCGTAGTGCATCAGGAGTTCTTGCCATATGATCGTACGGCCAATAAGAAGTATTATCTTGAAGTTATGCGCCGCTTGCGAAAGATGGCTTTTGCTTCACGATAATTCACCTGCTCACTCGTCATTGCTTGTGATAGCAGGGGAGCCCACGATGCAAAATGGGGATTTACTCGGGCGTCATTGAGACATATTAGTTTGCAAAGCTTAGATGATAAGAAGAAAAAAATGTTATATAATATATACCTTTTCATCGGTGGGGGAAGCGGCTATAGATTTGTAAATATGTAAAAAAATACTGTTGCATGGACATACTCGAGCGCGTCAGATATTGATAGCATCAATGTCCTACGTGTTTTCAATAATGTTGGTATGTTAATCTAATCGTTTGCATGTTGCGGGTGGTTGTACGTAAGGGAAAAGTGAAAAGAAAAAAAATTTAATCGAATGCGTCAGATTTTCTAAGGGGTGTTGAGTGAAATAAAAAAAAGCTCTCATTCAATAATCTGACGATTTCGATCTGTCGCAAACTCGCGGCCATTATTATAATGTACAAAAAAATTCACCATTTTGAAATACCCAAGCGCGTCAGATAAATATATATATGGTTCATCTTTATGTTTTAGACGTGCTGTGTCATAATCTGACGATTATCTAGAGGGATTCGCTTAATCTGATAAAAACAATATTTTTTAAATTAAAAAAAAATCATTGTACTTAATTGATTGAAAAGTTCAGGAAATAGCATTCAAATGAATAAGTGTATGTTTTTTAAGTAGCATACTTGTATTTATAAGAAAATAATTTAAAATAAATGCTCAAAAAATTCGATTTTTTATAATCAATTGATTAATTAATGAAGAAAAGAGAAATGAAACTTTCTATGTTTCTACCACTTTTATTTGTAACTAACGTTACTGCAGTTTCGTCCTATAAGGACATTTTCAAACTTATATATTGTAAAAGTTTGAAAATGTCCTTATATATTGTATAAGTTTGAAAATGTCCTCATAGGACGAAACTGCAGTAACGTTAGTTACAAATAAAAGTGGTAAAAACATAGAAAGTTTAATTTCTCTTTTCTTCATTATGATTTCCTATCACGTAGTAACGGCTACATCCATCAATTAATTGATTAATTAATCATCATCTTCATCACGAACGAGTCTCTGTGATCAGCTGTGATGGCGTCATGGCAACAGAATTCAGAGTGGGGACGGAGTGAGAGAGTAATAGATATAGAAAAAGTGAATAGAGAAATAGAAACTCGGAGAGGGAAATATAGGTATCATACAGCTGCACGCATTAAACTTTATCGACGAATTTTTTATTTATTTACAACTTTGCTGCCCTCCCCTTTCTTTACGTCACTCTCAAATTGTCAGATTACTGGAATATACACTTTTTAGCAGGTAATTAACTCACTATACCTTAATCTGACGCGCTCCATAATTTCTGATGATCAAATTTTTTTTACTAATCTGATCCTTTATCCCTCACAGGCGGCCTTATATATGGGGCTCATATTTGGTGGAAGTACTTAACCGGGTACAAGGTATTCCCCTGTATATTAATCTGCCGCGCTTTAGTAAACACCGAAATCCCCGCTTGGGCTCCCCTATTATGATTGTTTGGCCAAAAACAACTCTTTAAACATGCTTCAGCCACCGTATTCACCAGATTTGGTCACTGCTACTTCTTCATGTTCCCAATATTGATGGGACCCATGAAAGGATGGCGTTTCGCTACAATTGTGGAGATGAAAACCGAATCGCTGAGAGATCTCAAGGACATAACAAAAAGTTCATATCAGAACTGCTCCGAGGATTGTAAAAAACGGTGACACAATTGTATTATATCTGAGGGGGACTACTTCGAAGACAAAAATGAGTTTCAACTTAATGCCGTCCGTTATAAATGATGCAAATCAACTTTATAATGTGAACATTGTACAATTATTATGAAGAGTGTCATTAACTGTCATCAAGTAACGTGTCAGTGTATTCATAAGAATATTACTGAAGATCGGCTGTAAAAGTTAATAGTAATAGTTGTAAAATTGTTAAAAATAAATAAGAGTGTCACCTATTTATGAAAAACAAGCGTAACAAGTAAAAATACTGGAATAATAACTATGGGTCAAAGAATTAGTAGTGAATTAGGCATTTAATTTTCATTAGGTGTCTTGATGTTCTGTTTAAATTTCTTATTTGGCCTAAAAACTGACTAATTTCGTAGTAGACCATTTGCATAAACATTATCATTGTAACATTTTATGTATGTATAAAATGTTACATTAAATAATTATTATATTGTTTTCCGAAATGTATGTCGTAAAGTGTTTATAGACCATATAAATACTTTAGAAAAATGAGTTTATGTATTATAATGAGTGAGTAAAAGTAGATTGGATACTATTAGACAAAAATCTAGCAATAAAAATTCAGCATGACTCAGTACAAGGGTAATTTATGATTTGGATGTTTTCCGGATTTTGCCGTGGTCTTCTCTGGTTATAATATTTGGCAAAACTCGGAAACTAACCAAAACATTAATGCTAGCCCTGAACTCCTACATTCCTATTTAGGGTAATTTATGCTTGAAATGTGGAAATGAACAATTGGCAAAAGTCATCTTGTAATCTACCTTTAGTCTCTTTAGCTTCCGCCAATGCTTCTTCTCCTCCACTATTCGCATAATCAGCATTTGTTTTTTCTGTTTTTTTTTAAGTTGTTATGAGTATGAATGATCTAAAAGGTATATTTTTAGGAGAGATTAATTTTTTGGAAAGAAATGTTTTGGCTTCACACTTGCCCATTGATTATATTGTGTAAGAATCCTGTGAATGATATCTGATTCGATTCCATTACGAATGTTTGGAATACAAACGGAATAGAGAAAAGTGTTTTTTGTATAATTCAGCGTTCATATAAAAGTATTTGATTCGAAAGTATTTTTCTTTCATGTAATTCAATGTTTGTATGAAAGTAGCTGTTTCGAGAGGAAACATCGCAAAGTAGAAGATGGGGTTAGATGGAAGAGCAAATGTATGTTAACTGTTGAATTATATTTCATATTGTACAATACTCATTACTACATACAAACTGAATCTCGCCCTAACTGCATAAATGAAATGTGATCTATTTTTTATCAATTGGTAATAAAGACATTTATTATTATTATTTTTTACCGTAGTATGCGCTGGTCAGGCCATATCCTCCGAAGCCCCGAGGAAAACGAAAGTCAGGCGCTTTGATAAGCCAAGGTCTTCAATATGATTGACCAAATGCATTGGCTTATCCTTGTGTTTCCGCAGAAGTGAGGTGATTATTATTATTATTACTATTATTTAGAGAGTTTTCAGATGAAGTTTCAATGTTCTCAGACCACGAGGATGCTCAGTCAGTACAACTAAAAGTTTTGTGTCTGAAGACTCTGAAAGACTTCGTTATCAATCAGATTTCTCTCA